GGCGCCTGCACCGCCCGAGTCGGGTCTCCCGAGGCCGCCGCGCCCCGCACCTGCCCGTCCCGTTGCGGGACCCCGGCCAGGCGGGTGTGAGACGTGCCGACAGCCCGCGCTTTGCTCCGGGGAACGAGAAACCCGCGGCTTGGCCAACCGGCCGGGGGCTGGCGCCGTCCCGGGAGCGGGAGCGGGAGGCCGGGGCTGCCGGCTGAGGCTGGGGCCGGGCTCCCCTCAGGGTACCTCAGTGTGACAAAAGGGCACAGGCAGGTCGGTTTCATTTACTCCCGTAGACATTAAGGGCGTTTGTACGCGTTGCTTCTATACCCCTGCATCGAAAGGGTGGGTTTTTAATTGAAATTTGCGTCACTGTTATGGCGAGGGGCTCAGTTCTTTCTTTCTTTCTTTCCCCAGCGGAGCCTGCCCATGGCCTGGGGAGGGCCGTGAACTGCCCTGAACTGTGGGAGCCCCAGTCCTTCCCTCCACAGTGGCAGCACCCCCGGGGCTAGCAAGGGACTAGTTGCGGCTAGCAGGGGAAGAGAAGGGTGACAAGAAGGGTTTCTACAAGCATATCATCAACAAGGGGAAGATCAGAGAAAGTGTGGGTCCCGTATTGAATGGCGGAGGCAATTTAGTGACTGATAACGCAGAAGAGACTGAAGGACTCGATGCCTTTTTTACCTCAGTCTTCACAGGCAAAGGTCAGCTCCCAGATTACTGCACCTGACAGCACAGTTTGGGGAGGAGGTGAGCAGCCAACAGTGGTAAAAGAACAGGTTAGGCACTATTTAGAAAGGTTGGATGTGTACAGGTCCATGGGGACAATGCACGATACACCAGAGGGTGTTGAGTGAGTTGGCTGATGTGATCGCAGAGCCACTGGCCATTATCTTTGAAAACTTGTGGTGATTCAGAGAGGTCCCAAACGATTGAAAAAGGGCAAATATAGTGCCCAACGTTAAGAAAGGAAAGAAGGAGGATCAGGAAACTACAGACTGGTCAACCTCACCTTTGTTCCTGGAAAAATCATGGAACAGGTCCTCAAGAAATTCATTTCTAACCACTTAGAGGAGGTGGTGGTGTTTAGGAAGAGCCAGCATGGATTCACCAAAGGCAAGTTATGCTTGACCAACCTAATTACCTTCTATGACAAGATGACTGGCTCTGTGGTTGCAGAGAACAGTGGATGTGATATATCTTGACTTTAGCAAGGCTTTTGATAAGTTCTCCCACAGCATTCTCGCAAATAAGCTAAGGAAGTATGGGTTGGATGGACTGTAGGGAGGATAGAAAACAGGCTGGATTGTTGGGCTCAAAGAGTAATAATCAATGGTTTGTTGTTTTGTTGGTAGCTGGTATCAAGCAGAGTGCCCCAGGGATTGGGTCTGGGGCCAGTTTTGTTCAATATCTTCATCACTGATCTGGAAGATTGGATGGGTACACCCTCAGCAAGTTCATGGATGTCACCAAGCTGGAGGGAGTAGTAGATATGCTGAAGAATAGGGTTATGATTCAGAGAGTCCTTGATAAATTGGAGATTGGACCAAAAGAAAACTCATGGGGCGCATCCACACGGGTGCGTACGTGGCTCTTGCCCGCCTGAAACTCCTTTGAGGCGGGGGAACAGGCACATGCGGTAACGGAAAAATGTTCCCTGCACTGCAAGGGGGGGGGCGGGGGTGAAAATTAGACGCCTGGATATCCAGGGGTCTAAAAAAATCAAAGCTGAAAAAAGTGGTCTGGAACCGTGCCCTGAGGCAACTGGAGGCGCTTTGGCTGCCAGAGCATCTTTATGGTTGGCCCCTTGCCCTGGTTCTGAAACATGCAGCGGGTCAGGCCTCGTGTTTCAGCACCAGGGCTCTGGTGCCAGTGAGTAAGGGGCCGGGGGCCGGGGCTGGAGGAGGGGCAAGGGGACCATGGGGGGGACTCCCAATGTCTCCGCCCATTCCCCCAGCTCCCCTGACCCCTGCGGGGGCCAGCCTCTCCCCCCCCCAACCCCCCCCACGGCCCCCCCCCCCCCCCCCGCCCCCGCGCCCCCCCCGCCCCGCCGCCCCCCCCCCGGGCGCCCCGCCCGGGGGGGGGGCTTGGCCCTCCTTGTTGTTTTTGCTCC